AAGGTATTGTGTTGTAGTAAGTCTCAGAGAAACTTATTCAGTTTCCAAAGTATACGCGAAAGCGGTTGATTATATTGAGACTATAAATAAAGGAAAGATTTAATATCTTCTATTACTACATCTTGTAGCGGGGTAATATGTATGTGAAAAGCTACCCGCTTTATTCTCCAATTTGTACTACAAAAATAAAAGAATACCACAATGAAGTGGATATTTATTGATATAAAAACCCTTATCATAATAAACTTGGAGTTTATTCATAATTGCACACATCATGGCGTAAACCTGAAGTTTATCAATATTGATAATTTATCCAGTTGGCATACTTGGTTTAGCCATGTTAATTCATGTATGATGTGCAAAAATAATAGAGAATTCACATGGGTAAATATTAAAGAACTAGAAAGTTCTTTACGAATTCTCTTATATTGCTTGTTCTCATTAATTAATAGATCAACTAAAATTGGGATTGAATCCCATGAATGCTGGAAATATCAAAGGTGAATATGGGCCCATTCACCTGCCATGTATACCACATAAGATGCATCTATGAGATGGTTACATGTGCGATTATTATTAACCCGCAACATGGTGTTTGCGAGGTAACTTGCTCAATAATTTAATTTAGAGCATATTCCAGATTTTCTATTCAAGAAGTTCATCTTGATAAGTTGGTCTACATCACAGCTGGTTTAGCAAAATGATTTATTGAGTGCCTCCACTTAATAGCTAAACAATTGCTTATGAGAACAAAGTTTTATATACCAGTTTGATATACGTTATATACGAAAGTATATTAATTTTTCCCCTCACAGGTGGTTCATGGTCAGGAACCAAATAATTCCATCTTATTATTATTGATGTGCGGTGTATATTATGATTAACACCATAACGCACAAAGATGGGTTCTCAAAGTTGAGGAAACAAGTTAGTTTTTCTAACATGAGGGGGAGACAAGATACAACAGTTGAGAAAAAGTTACATGGAATGAATTATCATGTGTACATCTAGATCCTCGAATAAGATAATATGAACTTGAAGTTCATAAAAGGATAATTCATGTGCAATTTATTGCAAAGCATGCCAGACGCATTTGCTGACCCAAAGAAAGTAACTATATTCTCATTGCAAATGCTCCTATTAAGTCCTAGAAGGACAAAATCTATGGTACGTTTAAAGCGTATAGACAAATCGGTTTCAAATAAACTTCTTGATAAAGAAGATGAGCAAATGATCAAAATGATCATAATAAAGGAGGCAAGTGATCTAGAAGATCACATGACATAACACTTTATAAGATCTCAAGAGAGATTCAGGTACCTGAATATATGAATGAAGAGATCTCTATGTTATGTCTTTATGAAAAATAAGGAGGTTGGAACCGATATAAAATATTTGTCGACGACATCTATGATAGCGCTAAATATATATATGAGGATCTTAAGTCTGAAGAAACAATCCAAATGAATTGGTTTCATATGAAAGCCATGTAGTTTTGAACATGCAGTTCAAACACTTGAAAGTATAAGTCAATGGTATGTGCAATCAGTTTTCGATATCTTATATGTCTAGCATGACATGAAAACTTGATATGCATCTAAAGTCTATTATATGGCTTATATGACTTAAAAATCCTTGAAGGATTTAAATTGCTTAAAGCATATAGAATTCATGGTCATGAAGTACTATATCCTAAATGCAATTTGTGCATATGTATCTTGCTATAACTATAAGCAAGATAATATGATAGCAAGAGTTTTCACCTCTATGTGAAGATATTGAACNGGAAGAGCCACAATTCAAGTATAATTTGAATTCATATGAAAGACATGTAGTTTTGAACATGTAGTTCAAATACTTGAAAGTATAAAGCCAATGATATGTGCAATCAGTTTTCGATATCTTATTTGTCTAGCATGACATGAAACCTTGATATGCATCTAATTAAAGTCTATTATATGACTTATATGGCTTAACTTATGAGACCCTTGAAAGATTTAAATTGCTTGAAGCATATACAATTCTTGATCTTGAAGTACCACATCCTCATTGCAATTTGTGCATATATGTATCTTGCTATAACTATAAGCATGATAATGTGATAGCGAGAATACCTCCATAGAGATATTGAAGAGCCATTCTACGATATTTATGAAGACATTATATCTCTATCAAGAATGATGATTTCAAGGTGCAATATATTCATTCAAGTTAATATGGCTGATTTGTTCATCAAATCTCTACCAAAGATCTTTTGAAGATGGTGCACAAGATTGGAATGCAAATGCTCAAGGATGTGAATTGATGCTCTCATCAGGGGGAGTTAATACGCGTTGTACTCTTTTTCCCTTTCAAGGTTTTGTCCCACTGGGTTTTCCTTGCAAGGTTTTTAACGAGGCAACCAAAAGGCGTATTATTAGATATGTGTACTCTTTTTCCTTTTCTAGATTTTTTTTCCCATTGGGTTTTCTCTTAGTTAAGGTTTTAACGAGGCACATTATCTGTTGAATAGACATTCAGGGGGAGTGTTATAAATAGAATTTTATTTATGGTGAATGTCTATATTTAGAGAGATTCTAGGGTTCATTGCTTGGTGGCTAAGTCACACACTCCCTATAAATAGAGGGTTCTATTCTATTGTAATTCATCCCAAATCAATAAGAATTCTCTCTCTCTACTTTTCTCTGCAATACTATTCTTCTTCTTTTATTATTTCATAACAGCATGATATATATTTTTTTTTTTGGTGTTGCTTTAGCAAAGTACGAGAGAGAGAGAAATTTTTACTTAACTATTCTATAATAAAAATTTTATTTATTTTTACTAGAGATATTATTACTTAATCATATTTTACTTTATAAATTTACCAAGTATATACAAATCATTGATAATAGAGTATCCAAATATTTAATTAGTAATAATCGATACACACGTGTACAGTTACCTATCCTATCCACGTAGTTCATCTAACTTGTCCACTTACTTAAACAATTACTAAAATTGCTTAAATAACTCAATCTGTTGTTTAAACAAATGATTGATTTGCTTAAACAACTTCAAGTTTAATTATTTTTTTTATTTGTATGATTTGCGCATATCTTATTTTTTGAAATAGAATATATTATTGACGCACGTTGCTCACGAATTTTAAAAGGTAACAAACAATTCGAAGGAGTCTTCTTTATGGGAATGTATATAATTTTTTATAAAGATACAGTTAGTTTTAGTAATTAGTAAAATATAATTAAACCGGATAAAATAGTTTGTAAATGTAGTATATATATGTATTATTTATAATTTTACACTTTTTTGATTTTCCACTCAGATATCCATTGGTAGTTCGACTAAGTCGTATTCGCGCAACGTAAGAATCATTAAAAAAAAAAAAAAAAGTATCCCCTACCGGAATTTTTCGACAATTTTGCACTGGTTTCAAAAATAAATCACTTGAACTGAACTAATTTTCTTCATCTCATTTCTGTTTTTGTTAAGTGAAAAGTGAATACTCTTAATTTTGAATCGACGACATTTTTCGAACGGTAGAATTTTGGTTAGCGAGCTCAAAATTTGAAAAAATAATAATTTTCTTTTAGGAGTTTCCTTTTCTATTAATGTCTTTCTAGCCTAACGAACCATAACCACATAATCCTCGAGTAGTTGTCTGTTAAATTTCTGAGAAAGATAAGAGTTTAGCATCTAAATTATGTCTGTTGCTTTTTATTGTCAAGTCATTCATAATTGTTTTAATAAACTTTTTTTTAAAAAAAATTTCTTCATATTGAGGCTTTATTAAATTCAAATTCGTGCCGAAAATTTCATACTGGGAATAAAACGTTCACTAGTAAAAACATTTTCATACACTGATACACAGAGCTCGAATTTAATATCTCTAGTTAAAGATAAAGACTACTTACTATTCCACCATAATTTTTATTAGTCGTTTTAATTGAATTCTTTAGTTAGTTTCTAGTATTTTGTCAAACAAGACTTCATTCCAATTTTGAATTGTTTAGTTATTTTTCAATAAAGAAATTGAGCAATACGCAAGCTTTTAGCTTTGAATTTGTTTCCCCATATTATGCTTTTCACCTTCCAAATATGTGATCTGTCATCAATATTATTAAGTATTTGGAGGTAATTCATATTCAATGTGTTACTCTTGTTTGGGATACAGAAAAAGAAAATGGTAAAAATTTAATATTATTTCTGTTTGACAAAAGAAAAAAGGAAAATAATGGTGGTACTAAGTTTTATAGAAAAAAGAAGAATAAGACTTTCTAGTTGAGTATCAAAAGTAATATTTATTCTGTACCCATAAAAAAAGTAAATTTTATTTATAAATTTAAAATGGCAATTACCAAAACTCGAGTTCTTAACCGTAACTTCTATTCAATTATTAGAATCAAATCAGTAAAAGAAACTAAATACTCCCTCCGGTCCACAATAAATGATTTTTTGATATTTTTTTTGTCCAAAATATTTGTTTTTTTTTTTCAGATTTCAAGAATGAATTAATTATTTTTTTCCCTACATTGCCCTTGGAGTAAATAGTGTTGGAATATGTGTTAGGAATATTTATGTGAAGAGATAGTAAATGTTAATATGATCAATTTCATTGTTAAAAGGTGAATTTCTTAATCTGTGTGAAAACAGACAAAAATCTCTTATAATGGACCGGAAGGAGCATACAACTTATTATTCTTCTTCTTCTTCTTCTTCTTCTCCTTCTTCTTCTTCTTCTTCTTCTTATTATTATTATTATTATTATTATTATTATTATTATTATTATTATTGATAGGAATTTATCGTGCGAGTATAAATTACTCCGATCAGTAAAATTCAAAAAGGGGATGAAAAGAATATAATGAGGGGCTATTTAATTTTTGAGTGATGTAGTTATTATAAATATCTTCTAGTTACTAAAAAATATTGGAAAGGAAAAAAAAAGCAAATAAATGAAAGAAATAAAATAATATTTTACCTAAAAACAGTTCACAAAATAAGTACTCCATAAACCTCTTAACAGAATTACCTGTTTCATTTTTGGCCACACCAACAGATACTACACACTCGTTTCTGAACTTCGCCGGAAAACCATGGCCGGAGTTCTGAACGTTTCACCGGCTCCAATTTTCCGGCCAATTTCAGCTCACAAACGCTCTACAAATAACAGAGTCTTTTTAGTAAAATCAATGGCTCGATCTTCAGATAGTTCAAATGGTTCTGTGAGCACTAAAGAGGAACCCAAATCGGATTTTTCATTTTCAGCGCCGCCGAACTTCAAGGCGCCGAAGCCTAAGCCATTTACGCCGAGAACTGATATGATTTTGGACATATTAAGTGCTTCTCTTGCTTTGATTTTTCGCCTTGGTACTGGTGCTCTTGTTTCTGGGTATGTTTATTGTTCAATTACTTCATTCAGTTTAATTTCATCTTTAATCACCTCAATTTTTTTTGAAATATTGATCTTGTGTTTGTATGAGATAAATAAACTCCACCTATGTAAGTTTGGTAGAGTGTAGCTAGTTCCTAGCTTGAACAAATGAAAGAGTGTTGTAGTAGTAAAAAATAGTAGAGTTTAAGTTCTGTGCACTGATTATGTGAAAATTATTTATATAATCGAGTCACTTATTAGGTAATTACAAGTAAATTACTTGATTAACACTATTTCATAATATGATAAAAATTGTAATTAACATGCTATCACAAGTTAAAATTCACCGCCAGTGTAAAAAAATCTTTATACTGCTAGTGTATATAACTTAAATCCAAAAAGTAACTATAATGAATCATCTGAATATGAATGGATACAGAAAATTCTTATAGCTGACTCTAACTAATTTGGGATTGGGATTTAGGCTAGATGATTGATTTGTATGTATGATTGACGATATGCGTATGATTCTAAATTGTAGCGGTATTTGTGAATTGGGGAACATTCAAGTTTTGTGATCACTTGGGAATAATGTCTCTGAAATTGGAATGAGCTAATAAGATTATAAAACTGCAGCAACTGCTATGCTTCAGTCCCAAACAAGTTGGGGTCAGCTATATGAGTCCCTCACTAACCATGTTGCTTTTACTAGATAATAGTAATTGGGATAAAAGAAGAAGCACACTTGCGGTTCAATATGCTTTTCTAAAATTCAACTTCTAAATGGATTCTCGTGACAATTGTATTCAAGATGTACATACTGTGCTGGAACGTTCAGTTATTTTTATAAGTTGTGTATATAGTCATTCCTTGATTAACACTATTTCGTAATACGATAAAAATTGTAACTAACATGCTATCACAAGTTAAAATTCACTGCTAGTGTAAAAAAATCTTTATACTGCTAGTGTATATAACATAAATCCAAAAAGTAACTATAATGAATCATCTGAATATTAATGGATACAGGGAATTCTTATAGCTGACTCTAACTAATTTGGGATTTGGGATTTAGGCTAGACGGTTGATTTGTATGATTGACGATTAGCATATGATTCAAATTGCAGTGGTATTTGTCAATTGGGGAGCATTCAAGTTCTGTGATCACTTGGGAATAGTGTTCTGAAATTGGAATGATCTATTATATTATAAGGCTTGTTTGGTCGAGAATTATAGGCGTTATTAACAGATTCTTCTGCATGCTTTTAGTTTAACTTGAGTGTAAGGAGTAGAATGCCCGGAGCTAAGTAATCGCAAGGTATAAGTTTTGATTTTATACCACGTTGCTGCTTTTGCATTTAGTATTGTAGTTATTTTAAGTTATGGGAGTAGACTTACAACTCCAAGAACTGGCCTGCTAGTGGCCAATGGTCGACTTGTATGCTAGGACGAGGAGATGGCAACTTAGTCTGAGGGAGGGGACTTAAATCTCAGTGGATGAAAACTTGCCAGAGGATAACTAGTAAACCAACAAATAAGTGAAAAGAAGCAAGCATTGATATAATTTATTATACGAAGTGATCTCTGTACCTTACAAGAACTTATCATTCTTCTCGGAAGCAGACTGCAACTGACTAGCTACTACAAAAGAATGCCCTTTATTACTTTAAAGTGAGATTATGATTCTCTCATTTCAGTTATTTGTACCTTCAGCGAGGCTGTTACTTCTTCTGACCACCAACTGATTGGACTTCCATAATGCGAAGTTTACACTAATATATGCAGAACTACTTTAAACAGAATATGTGTAGACCTGTTAAACTATGTATGAAACTTATAAATGTAGACCTATTAAACTGTGTAGACTAATATATATGATTTGCTATTAATATATGCGAAGTTCTACATATATAAGTTGCATACATAGTTATTCCAGTTGAAGTTTATTGACTTCTTTCCTTTGGGTTTTCTTAAAGAGCTTCGTATTAGTTCTTTTAGGGTGCAGATTTTGATACATCTGGCATACTTATTTTTTCTGTGCTGCTGCAGGTATTCAGCATCTTTTGTCTCCAAAAATGAGGTTCCGTCTGACCAGTATGCACTTGGAATTGCTGGTAGTTATCCTTACCATTTCATCCTCAGGCCTTTCATCCAAAACTTGTTAGGATTATGTTGAGGAGAACCGGAATCAGTTGTTAGCCTTTGCAGCAATTATCAGCAAGCGGTGATTAAGATAGAATTCATGTGCATATTAGAGAGAAGAGAAAAGTTTGTGTAAAATTCCCAAAAACAAAAGTATTTTGGGATAATCTTTACTTCCCAAAACGCAAACCAAAGAGAAAAAAAGAATAAAGCCAGACCTCATTCTATAAGAAATACAAGTAGTGTCGAAGCTCCATTCCGTTGTTCATTAGTTAAAACATATAATATGTTTTTTCCTTTATAACGAAGTAATAGAAGACCAACCATTTGTAGCTTATATGCATCTTTGATCTTCTCAAGAACTTAACTTAAACACTTAACTATTACATCATATTTCATCATTGTTTGATATCTTCTAATTTCAGCAACACCAAAGGAAATATTGCTGGAAATATCCTTCCTAAGTTTTGTATTAGTAACATGTTCTAACATTTCATTTGAACATTAGGGTATAATTTTGGGTGATGTTTTTTTTCCTGATACGAGATGTTTATTATAGGCTTCAAGGTGAAGGAGAGTTCAAAGTTAGGTCCTCGACCTGAGAAGCCAATAGAGATATATGAGTTTGAAAGGTATTTTTGCTGGGGAAGTAATTTAATTCTCACCATCCACTTCAAAACGTATTTTAACTCTCACTATTACATCCAACTGTCAGCATCTATTATGACAAATTTACCCTTCTTTCCGTTTAGTTTTCCCTATCTGCTATATAAGTTTTAGAATTTATTATAGACTAATTCACCTGTTTCCTCTCTTATGTGGCCTGGCATGGAACATGTGGGCATTTCTTCAGCTGCCCGTTTTGTAGGAAGGTAACTGCACATGCATTTATTCTTTCTTTCTCTCTCTGATTGAGGTTCATAGTTATAATCTACTCTTCTACTATCATTATGTGAATTAAAGCTAGAATGGACGGAAAGAGCTTTTATTTTTACATACCCAGTTACTGTTATCAAGCATCCGGACTTTGCATATACAGGAAGTTCTTTCAATTGTTAAAACGGTTGATTAATGGAAGTTTACACTACTATATGTAGAACTATTTTAAAAAGAATATGTGCGGAACTACTATATTTATGCTTTCAATTTTAATTAGCCTACCAACTCGATGGAGCTTAAGGAAAAGAAAAAAGAATCTTGTGACATTCTTCTTCAGCAGATTGGTACTATCTTTTCTTTTGAACATTATACACATTGAACTACTCATTTGATCTTTTCCCTTTTCTTTTGTTCCTGATTGTTAAAGATGTCAATTTTATTGCAGGTTAGGGAAATAGTTGCTGTTTTAGACCTTGACGTCCTTTATTATCCTTGCCCAAGAAATGGTCCAAATTTCCGTCCCAAGGTTGGTCAGATGGGTGGAAAGCAGCAGTTCCCCTATATGGTTAGATAACTTCTCTCCTTTGGCTCCCTTAGAGAAAATTAGCACTCAGAAGCTCACACAACCCCAAATTTATTGCATGCTTTAAAATGAAATAATGTGGAAAATTGTAACCTGCACCATCATTTTTAAACGTCCTCTTAAAATTTTACTATTTATGTTCAAATGTACAGTGTTATTCTCCTCTTGTATTCTCTTGATGATGTGGGACTATGAGTCAAAAATTATGTTGAGACAGAAAGAAAACTGCGAGGAAGGAAATCTTCACTGAATATTATTAAATGTAAATTAACGAGCACCAGGTGTAATTCACCTGCCGCCTAAGAATGTCTAATAGATGCTGAAATAAGTTACTAAAAGTTTTTTTTAAAAAACCTTCTCCCCAGGAGCTCCGCACTTTGCTCCCTTGGTGACCCTAACCTGCAGCCTTATGGTTGGAGGTTGAGGGTGCTTACAACTTGAGCAACCCTCTTTTGTCACTAATTGTTTTTTATTTTATTTTTGAGATCGTTATTAAAAAAGTTCTTTTGGAAACTACTTTCTACTCTACGCAATTATTCGATGGCTTCAGATGGTTCAAGACATGCTTAAGTAGTTTCTTCGCTGGACACTGATGTCTATCATGTTGCATTTTCTTTTTGCTTGTTCTGGAAATGCGAAAATGACTATCTATGCTGTAACTCTACTGAACTTGAATTCTTCAAAAAAAAATGATTTCTTATTCTATTTGTTGATCAGGTCTATCGAAACATTATGGCGTCTAATCGTTTGTGTTATTCTGCTGCAGGTTGATCCAAACACTGGAGTTGCAATGTATGAATCAGATGAGATTATTAAGTATTTGGTTGGAAAGTATGGTACGCAGCTGTAATGGCCAACTTATATTGAAAAGACATCTGAATTCTAGTTCTTAAATTATTATTGTAAATTCTTGTTAGTGCATTTAATCTATATACTGGAGACCATATAGTTTCTTCTTGTTAAAAAGTTAGCAACATTTGGATTTAGGATTGACATGAATGACAGTTGATTCCAAATGACCCATTTAAGAGATTGTTTGGTTTGATTCTCATTTGATCTCCCTACTATTTCTCCATCATTCTGGTAAACTCTGTTCTTAGTGAGTGCATTAATTAGGTTGATTTCCTCGTGCAGGTGATGGAAATGTCCCACTTATGTTGTCCCTTGGTCTTCTCACTGTAAGCAAACAGATTTATGGTCATCAATGAGTTAGATTACTAAAAAGAGTGTTTAAGAGATATTCTTTATTAAATGTTGGATCTTGTCCTCTCAGACACTTACTGCAGGTTTTGCCATGATTGGTCGAATGGGGAAGGTATTTGCTTTTCCTCTCTGCTATTAAGTGTATTTGCTTTTGGTGCCATGACTTCTCGTCCATAAAGTTTTATCTCCAAAAAGTAAAAGACTTCCTGTGGACATAACTTTATTCACAGAGTTAGGATTTCAGTATAAAAGAATTGACAGAAAACTATTAATTTTGAGAACAAGAAACCAAGATAATATGTTGTGATTTTGCCAGGGGTCTTCCTACAGGCCATCTAAACTGCCACCGAAGCCGCTTGAGATATGGGCATACGAGGTTAGCCCAAACTTACTTATAAAGCATTCTGCTGTCAGTTTGGTTTACATGAATCTACACTAAGAATTCTATAGATTTTTTCAATCATCATGTCAAAAGAGTTTTTGCTGAATAGTATATCCATATTACATGACCTATTTGCACTTGTGTCATTTTTCCAGCCGTCTCCATTTTGCAAAGTTGTACGTGAAGTGCTTGTAGAATTAGAGCTTCCCCACATACTCCGCAGGTACATGTTACTGTGAAATGGATGATGAACAAAACCTATATACTGTGCAATATAGGATGCCTTTGGCATCAAATAATAAGCTGAATAACTTAGATTGCTATCTGATTGTTTATGAGAATACCATCAAAGATTAAATATCTTTTCTATGAAGTCTCCTATAAGTTCGTACATTAGATTTAATTAGGTTTCCCCTCAAGGAATTTAACTTGTTACTTCAATGATCAGACCTATTCTTATAATGTTTCTGTCTGAGAACTAGATTAAATGACATAGAGGTGATTTGACATTCATTCGATGGGGTGAATCAAGGATCCTCCTCTCAATCAGAAGAGAATTTGAATCCATTCAGTTCACTTGTCTTTCTAATTATTGATTTATTGTCATGAGAAGTGTGCTTTACCACTGGTTTCAAGAATGGGATTCTTCTTATCTAGTTTTCTTCTTTACTCATTTAAAATAAAAATTAGGATAAACGTGACATGTCTATTCCTGTATACGACAATTTCAATGCTTTTGATTTCCTCTGACTGCTCTAAACAAATGGTGCAGTTGTGCTCGTGGTAGCCCCAAACGCCAAGTATTATACGAAAGAGTTGGACATTTCCAGGTTATTCTTTGCTTTATGTTAGCTCTACCTTTTGGATGTCTGTTAAGTGTAATGCACACCTCATGAAATGCGGAAAATTAATAAGGACTCTGTTTTTAGGCCCCATACTTGGAAGATCCAAATACTGGAGTACAAATGTTTGAAAGTGCAGATATTGTGGATTATTTACAGGCAACTTATGCTCTTTAAGGAGTGAGGCATCCTCCCTTTTTCAATAGTTTAATTTCCTAATGCCTCTAACAAATGAACTTTCTGCAATTTTGTTCAGCCTTTTCACAACCAAGTTAGAGAGGTCAGTTTTTCTGAACTGTTATTTTCCTGGATAATTTCACAGGATAGGAAACCAGCCATGAGGCTCAAAGTTTCTTCTCTTATTAGAGAGATGAAAGATGCCCCGTGGGACAGTGATGTTTCATCGACATCCTCATCGAATCTGCATCTTCAGTCGGTAAAAGTAAATGGCTCCGGTACATCCCAAAAGATTGTTCTATGTTGCTTAAAGCCAACAGGGAACTTCACTCACTTTTCGCGTTGTTATTGATTCAGTATGTTATTATTCCATGTTGTGTTATTTTTATTAACAGTTCACTTCAGTTAAATATTTTGTGTTAGACCATGGCTTGGTTATAGTGGCGACTAGCATTGTATATATGCACTCTCTAGAGCAACTATTGGGATTTACCATGTATGACTTGTATATTTTACAACAAAAACAACAACCTAGTGAGCAGCCTTTGGTAATATATATACATTCTGGCATTTTAGTTTTACCGGTCTTTGCTTTATGCTATTACAATTTTCGAATTTCTAGTTCATCATAATTTTGTTTTTTCATTTGCATTAATTTTTTTAGTGAGACCGTGATTAATACAATTAATTAATGAGATTTTTACATTCCTATGCCACATAGGAAACCTTATTACCCTCAATGTTTAAGGTTTGAGTTAATTACACTTAGTATACCAAATTACCAATTTTATACCATAATTAATTAAGGGTATAATTAATTGTACATTTTTTACTCCTTAATTACAGGAATCTGCACGTTTCTCTCTCCTAACCCCTCAGTCCCACCCACGTTTTACCCATACCCACGTTCTTCTTACCATTTTCCATCTTCTGAAACCAAATTCTCCCTCTAAATTCACAGAAAATTGAAGAAACCCTTCAACAAAGTTGGTTCCCCATTTTACTCCAGTTGAAGTTCATCAATGAAAGAACAATAAAGTTCATCAAAATTGAAGTCAAATCTTCAAAGTTCATACACACATTTACCTTCAGCTTCAAATTTTCTCAATGAAGAAGAACAAACCTGCAAAGAGACAAGAGAGTAGCAATTCCACCATTGACAACCATTAAAAAGCTTTGAAGCTTTGAATTCAAATTTGGTTTCAAAAATCATTATTTGTTTTGATTGGGTGTTGTTGAAAATAATTGGGAATATGTTTTGGAGTTTATATCTCAATTTTGAGGGGTTTTGTGAATATTTAGACTTGGTTTTGGCTGAATTTCAGATTGAAACTCGAAGAAGAAGAAGAAGAAGAAGACATGACATACATTATATTGCAGCAATTGTAGATAAATTGTAGAAAATTTGTAGATAAATTGTAGACCGTTTTTTGTAGAAGTTTTAGTCGTTTTGGATTTGTGAAAACAGAAAACAATGCATCTACAATCAGAATACAAATAATCTACAATTTATCTACCAAATATCTACAAACTGGACACATTGAATTTTAATATCCTAATTCCCATTTCAATTGTAGCATAATTGGCATTTTCGACATAATTGCGTTTTTTGCAGAAGATTTGTAGAAGTTTTAGTCGTTTTTGATTTGTGAAAACAGAAAACAAAGCACCTACAGTTAGAATACAAATAATCTACAATTTATCTACAAAATATCTACAAACGGGGTACATTGAATTTTTATATCCCAATTCCCATCCAATTTTAGCATAATTGTGATTTTTGACATAATTACGTTTTTTCAGAAGATTTGTAGAAGTTTTAGCCGTTTTTTATTTGTGACAACAGAAAATAAAGCATCTATAATCAGAATACAAATAATCTACAATTTATCTACAATTTCTGCAATGTCTTCTTCTTCTTCTTCGAGTTTCAATATGAATTTCAGTCAAAACCAAGTCTAATCTTCACCAAAACCCCTCAAAATTGAGATATAAACTCCAAACCATATTCCCGATTATTTTCAACAACACCCAATCCAAACAAATAATGATTTTTGAAAACCCAAATTTGAATTCAAAGCTTTCAAGCTTTTTAATGGCTATCAATGGTGGAAAATATCTGGAAGAATATTTGCTTCCATAATTGTAGCGCGCCTAAATAGGAATATCTGGAAGAATATGATTTGATTTGATTTACGCCAAATCTTTTTAAAATATTCTGTTCCTCAATTTTAGCTCGGCAAATTAGGAAAATTCAGCTACTATTAATTATTATTTAATGATTGGTATAATAACTGTAGAAAAAATGTGGACAGAGCGGGTAAATTAGAAACTATGCACATTTTTGATAATAAGGTTTCATATATGGTATAAGAAAGAAAAAATCTCTTAATTAATACGATTCTTTTCAATTTTTTTTGTTGATCCAGCTAATTTTAGCTTATTGATCTGACATTCTATATTTTGATATAACATTTTACTTATAGTTATTATTTTAAGTGATTTGATAGTGTAAAATTTCTTTAATTTACACTATAGTTATTACGGAAAAGGGTCAAAACTGCCCCTAAACTATTGGAGTTGGTACAATTATGCCCTCCGTCCACCCATTTTGAAAAAATTGCCCTCACCGTTATCTTTTCGGCTCAAGAATGCCCTTACGACTAACTGCCATGTTAGATAAAAAAAAATTAATTAATTTCCACGTGTCATAACGGAAAAAGGTCAAAACTGCCCCTAGACTATTGGAGTTGGTACAATAATACCCCCCATCTCAAAAAATCTCTCCCCCCCACCCCCCTCCACCTCCCCCCCTCTAGCGTGTGTGCGTTCATAATTTTCTTGTTCTTCTCATCCTTTTTGTGACCTTGCACTCTATTTGAATAATCACTACAAACATCATTAAAGTTTTATTTTCAGACAACCAAAACTTTTTGTCACCAATACTTTACGTCATACAACTTTCAAAGACCCTGTTAGGCAAAAAAAAAATTAATTAATTTCCATGTGTCATCGTCCCATTGGCCTAACTTAAGACTCACCTAACTTAAAATAAACTCACCCACATTCTAAGACCCTTTTCCTCCGTTTCTTTCTCCTCTTTCTTGTAAAAATTATTCCACCAACTAGAACTCTCATACACCCATTTTTTTTCCTAAGCAAACAAAACTCTCTCGTATAGTTAATCACCTTCCTCTTCCTATTTCTTTGTATATTAAATGTACACATCAATACTCCTATTTTTTTCCATCAAAGAAATATCATTCATCAGCAATTTTTCTTACTACACTTTACTGCTTCATACAATAAGCTCAATCAAGTGTTTATTACAGTCACATTCACCAATAAGTCGTATTCTCTCATATTCTCAGGCATATGATCTCAAATATTTCTCTTGATTTAACCGTCTCTTTTTTAAAATTGGCGGTGTTGATATAACCTGAAGAGCATCCTCGTACAATAGCTTAATTTATGGACATGGTCGGATGTTCAGACTATGGTGAGCCAATGAAGAAGAAAAAGGTTGAGGTCCGAGCAGAGACCAAATAAATCATTGGTACAATCAAAATTGGATGCAGAGTTGTCAGAAAAAATATTGCAAATGCTCAATGATCATTACTATTGGCAGAAAAATAACTTTATTAAACCATAAAATCTTACAATGAAGATTAATTTCAAAGAGTACCTGATTTCACTCAGAAAATTAGTTTAATAAAAAGTGTTAATTTAAAAATTAAATTAAGGTCGAAATATCTGAGATGGAGAGGGGGATCCGTGGGTGTTGAAGAGTGAAAATCTAAGATGGAGTAGTCTAATAAGTGGATATGGGGTGAGGTTTTAATTTAAGCCAATAGGAAATTAACACATAATAAATAATAAATTTTTTTCTTAATCAAAATAGGGCTGTTATTTTTTAGGGTACGAATGGGCCGAAAAGTTGACGTTAGGGGCATGAATGGGCCAGATTTTTAACGGTGAGGGCAATTTTTATAAAATAGATGGACGGAGGGTATTTTTAAACTTAAACGAATAGTCTAGGGGTAGTTTTGGCCCTTTTCCGTAGTTATTAAACTTCTTTTCTTCACACTATTAAAAATAGCTCTTTTCCGACCTAAGCATCGGATTAAACACAGAAGTCGACCAAGCCGGACGCAATAAGCAAAAAAAAAAAAGTTCCAATTTGTTTGAATAAAATTCGATCAGGGTTTCAAGGCACTTTATTTCGAGTGCAGGAAATATAACGTAAAATGAATATTTAAATGTGATTTAATGTGATTAATAAATCGAAATTACCAAATGCGACTTATAAATCACTATCTCCAAATGCGATTCATAAATCGCTCTTTCTAAATGACACTTACCAAATGCGACTTATAAGTTATTGCTGAATGCGACTTATAAACTATTGTGAAATACGACTTATGCATCGCAATTGTTGCACCTTGTTATATTATCTTGAGTCCTTTAAGTTTTTAAAAATTGAGCACTTCAGTCATACCGCCCATTAAAATTCACAGAATATTACGTGCATTCCACGTGATTAGAGTAAAAAAAGAATATGATAATATTTACTAGCAAAATATGAAAAAAGTTCAATCAAAAGAAGTCTGTAGTAATGATAAAAATAAACTGCAATCATGAGAAAATGAAATTGGGCAAGAAAATCGCGATCACATTTGCTATTTAGATTGGTCTCATGGAAGACATATGACAGTTTTATATGATTCATTTTGGAATTCCATCAATTAGACCAAAAATTGCTCAAATTTTGCAATTTTGAAGGATTATATGTGTTCAGGTAGTATAATAGGGATGAAAATAGACTTGTCACAAACATAAGGGGCCGTTAAAACCTCTGTTATTTCTGCCCCTTTCTTTTTCTGGCATGAGGCGTTTGATAGGAACTTACAAATAAAATAATAGTAACTACGTTACAACTTAGGATGGGATATAAAAGAAACAATTAAAAAGAAAAACTACGGAGAGGACAATAATTACTTGCATTGGAAATTACAAATATGGTTATACAATTACATTACAAAAACGAAGTAATTAAGCCTACCCTAAGCGAACACGATGGCTCCTTCGCGAACGCGAAGGATAATAGGCACTGACCCTCCCAGGTCCCTTTCTTCTACGCGAACGCGAGAGGGCCTTCGCGAACGCGTAGGCCTGGGATCTCAAAGCTTCGCGAACGCGACCTCCTGATCGCGAACGCGAAGAACAAATCGCCCCACTGCCCAAATCCTTCATCGCAACGCAAGGGTCCTTCCACATTCGCTAAGAAAGAAACCAGAACTGGAAAATTTGGTTTCTCCAACTTAGCTCCGGGTGATCCAAAACACACCCGAGCCACTCGCTACCCCGTCCAAATGCACCAATAAGTCCATAAACATAATATTGGCCTGCTTGAACTCTTGTAACGCGCAAAGCAACAACGAAACTAAGAATCGCACTCTAAAACCAAATTGAATCTATAGGAACTTCAAGTTTCCAATTTGCTCCAAACGCGCCGAATCATACTTAAACTACTCGGAATGACACCAAATTTTGCGTGCAAGTCTTAAATCATCATACAGAA